AGCAAACACTTTTGAGAAATAAAAATGTAAAGCATTTCTGGGGCATAATGGGCCTTAAAGCAAAGTTGTTGTGTTAAGAGTGATATGAGTGTTCTCCTATAATAAATTACTGACTGATCATTTAGTATATTGTTGTGCAGTGTCATACCTAGGCGCAACCCTTCCGAATAATGTTTAAAATGATGAATTTCAAAGTAAAATATCCGTAACCAAGATTCGTTATATCTAGGTAAAAATTAATTTGTCTGAAACATTTGTCCTTCTGAGATCGGATATCAGCACGTGGAGATGAGAGTAATCTGGCAATCTGGCCGTACTGCTTAACTATTGAAATATCCCTCATGTTTAACAATGGACTGTTCCAAATTGAACGGGGGCAAGTCCATTATGCAACATGTGGGATGGTAGTGATCTAAACATAGAAACAGAATATGTCTCTTAAAGAGGTATTACAATCGATTAAGAATGCCAACAGCTTTAAGGAAATAATGAAGCAAATGTCGCATGTAAGAAAGATAATATTCTTTCATCTGGGGAAAGTAGAATGACAGAAAGTATTACGCCCATAAGCCTATAGAAACATTTTACAACTGTACTAGGTTTTAACTAAAAATGAAAAATTTATATTGTATGAGTGAATATTTTGTAACGATAAGATAACACATGTCAAAATAGCTTACAAAATGATTTAAAGTGAATTGGTCTGTAAGATAAGGTATGTAATACAATAAATAATAAAATTGATAGTACAAATCAAACCAGGAAATAATTATAATTGGATGCTGTTGGCAAGTGTGAGATAATAATCCGATATTACCTTTATTGATATAGAAGACACAATGTAATAAAATGCTGTATTCATGATATAAATGTTCTAATCATTTAGAAATTTATCAATATTTTTTCAAGATATATCTATATGATACATTTCTACATTTTTATTGTTTTTATCAATATCCGGTATTAGAAATATTATTTGGGGAAGTATTTATTAATATTTCATTACCGGCTCGTAACTTATAACAAATAATTATCATAACAAATAACTAACAAAAATAATGCATTAGCAAAATATGAGACTAACTCAAGCGGTGCCATTTAATAAACAAAACATTACAGTTACAATAATCAGGCGAAATGTGTATATTTTGATCATCTCCCTGATGCGTTTTAATTGAATCATGGATTTTGTAATATTTGTTTGTTTGTTTTATTGGATTTCTTTTTCTTCATTTTTTTGCTAATTATTGGGTTTAATAAAGGAGGGCAGTTACCTTTGGAGAATTCTCGGATTCTCTCTCTTTATTCTATAATTGGTGCATATAGGTTATTTACATACTACCTTTGAATAGTAATGTGCACATCTGATCAAAAACACGTGCATCACGTGATGTATGTAGCTAATTGTATTTATATAAAATGCTTCATCCGTTTGTTAGTCGGAATATGTTTGCAATTATTCTACTGTATCTGTCAATAGACACGTGTGTAGAAATGTAGAAAATGCCATTTCGGAAGTGAACTTGTATGTAGCTGTCACATATTCAAAATTATCACGCTAAATGTTTACTTTGTCCAAATCACTGAATATTTGCACTACATTTGACTTATCAACAGACCTTACTGATGGACAGCGGACCTATAAACAATGACGAGTTTAATGTTTCCGAAATACAATAGCAGTTACCAAATTGCTCTACATGAAAGTAACAGTTAACATTCATTGCTTCTTGAAATAAGACTGACGGCATTCAAATTTACCATCACATCTGAAATTTACTAATATGGCCTTTTTCATTAGGATTCAAAATACTACAGAATCCGCCATATTCCAACTTGAGGCTGCATGCCTCCAGATCAGCCAAAATAGTTGAAGAAAATCAAATTTAAGAAAAATTTACTAAGGTTTTAAGAAAAGTAAAATTATTCGAGATTCCTGTAGTTTTTTACATGTTTTGTGGGGTGAATAATTAATTTTGCAGCATTTGTCACCAATATTGCCGCTGCTTTAGATGTTTTTGCATATTTTGACCTCATTTTTTTTGGAAATTTACTTGGATTGTAAATGCCGTTTGAAATGTGAAAATTACTTTCTTTGTTCACTACATGTAAATACATTTTCAAAATTTATATGAAAATAAGCATGAAACTGAGGGGCATGCTGCTTTTAGTTAAAATAAAAAGATAAAAACTCAATAAAAAATCAAGCGCGTGTAGGCAGTCAAATAAATCATACGGAAGCACTCTGACTTTATGTCGACAACAAGTGATATAATAACAATTGACAGGAAACAATATGAATTAACGAGATTTGGCAATGTAATATCATGTTCATTCCAATGTCGAACATCGTTTTGTTTTCTTTCTCTCTCTTTTTTTTTCTTCTGTATTGTCTATTTATATCTTTTAAGGCCCATTATGCCCTATAAATGCTTTCATTTTTATTCCTCAAAATACTTTATTTTATTGGTATTCTTTTATAGTTTCCAACAAGTTACTTGTTGGCCAATTACCTGTGCTATTAGTGCATTTATAGTGATTTAGTATTTTGTTTGGAAGTTAAGATACGACTTTTTGTTTATATTTTTCTACTTTTCTGACATATTTTACATTTAGCGCTACTTTCTTCAGGTAACAAGCATCTAACATGCTTAAAAACCATTTTTAAACATTATAAAACTCATATTTCACCTTTCTAAAGACGTCAATATTTACTAATTTCTGCGGCACAATGTACCTTAAAAGAGTCTGGGAACAGTGTTTTATTTAGTATATGTTTTGAAATCGACAGGTGCCCGTTATATGGTATATAATGATATAAAACAACTAAATGTACTATAACTCAACTAAAACGATGGTCCAAGTGGTGTGCGTGATGTTTGCAATGGTGGTTATTATTATCATCGGCATCATCGAAATCATCATAAGCAACATAACTATTATTGAATTATCATCAGCAGCATTCACATCATCAGTATCATTATAATCATCATCATCATTACTATTATTATGTTATCAGAAGCATCATCATCATCATTAGCAGCGTCTTAATCAGCATCATTACTATTATTTATTATTATCATCATCATCATCATTATCATCATCACCATCAACATCATCATCATCAACAACAACAACATCATCATCATCATCATCATCACAACATCACATCATCATCATCATCATCATCATCATCATCATCATCATCATCATCATCATCATCATCATCATCAACATCATCATCATCATCATCATCAACATCATCATCAACATCATCATCATCAACATCATCAACATCATAATGACATAGATATTTATGTAAACCGTTATAGCTTATTTGCTGAAGAAATATTAACTTTATTCATTGAGAAAATCTTTTCAAAGACTAAATCTGTGGTAAACAGCTCATTCAACCACATTAAATAACAATTTTATGTAAAATGAGCTGCTTTTTGTTCCATAATAATGTGGAAACACCACAGTGAGTGCATTTACAAGGAATCTGCTTCTGTGACTGGGGTTTCATGAAAAGCATTTAAGTTCTAAACTATATTTTTTACGGAGAAATAACATGACATGCCTTGGCATTCAACGATCTTGAAATCATGTACGCAATGTTTAAAATACATGTACGTATAGTAAATGTTTATGTTATTTGCATACATGTATATATTCTGGTTCAAGGTCAAAACGATCAAAGGAATGAAAATAACATACTAGTAATAAGTTAGTGTGTTTTATTTTCAGATAAAAAGAGCAACTTGTTAGTACAGGTTTATAGTGGATCTTTTGTTTATTTGTAGATAAACTGCATACTTTCTGACTCAGCAAATGCCGAATAAATGATGCATATATGCAAACAATTTTGTAAACAAACACTTGAGATGTTTTGACTAACGTGATATTAAAGGGATGATGGCGGCAAGAAAATGGTATAGGAATGATTACATAATTATTAAACCATCAGTTGAAGTATTAAGGGGTTTCGTCGGTGTAGTATTATGTAACCGAAAAAAAATAACCTCTAAAATGTAATTTGTATTTTTCTTGATTAAAATGTAATTTGTATTTTTCTTGATTTCTTTCTTTCTTTTTTGTTTTTGTTTTTTGTTTCTTTCTTTTGTTGGGTATTTATTGTGACTCAGAGCGCACAATGGTAACACCACGCTCAATTTATGAAATGGATTTGAATATCTCTTTCATCCTTTCGACTGTGTGTTGTCAATTTTGCTCATATCAAGATGAAAATTTTTAATTTTAATTTAGTAAGACAACATTGTAGACTCCGACTAGCCTTGTGCTTTTACACCGCTTGAGAAGGCTAATCACTTTTATTTTAATCACCTTTATTTTTAGTATGTTAAACAAGTTGGTTACATGTTTTACATCATATGCTGCTCTCTGTATTATTTCGGTCAGAAAAGGCACCTAACAAGAACGACCGACCTTTTGGCAAGCTTACTTGAAATGGTAGTTTACTCACGTGGATATACCGGGATTCGAACCCGTAAGTTTTAACCACATATCCTTGGAGAACTCACCGAAATGTTAATTTGCAATTATTTGATATGCTCTGTATTGAAGAAGGATGATGCGATGGTAATGTTAGCTTAAATTATACTTGAAGACTCATTAAAGTTAAAGAACAAGTAGTTCTAGTTCTAAAGTGTAAAATCACTATATATAGATCTCTAGCACTTTTCACAAAACTTTAAACTGACTAACACTCTGCTGGAGGAGTTGTCCAAATGGATTTCCTGTAACAGCTATAAATAACTGTAAGTAACTAAAAATAACGACAATTTAAGTTCAGTCCTTGAGGATATTATATTCTTCTTCTTAGTTCTGTCTCGAATCTCACGATTTTCATCACTCAATATGTATATATTCTTTGCCGGTGGCTGACCAATCAATCTCCCAAGATTTAGTTTGAGCTTTCTTTAAAACCCGTAGACACTGATCAGTAATTTATTGACTCAAAAAAAAAGATTAACACGGTGTTTGACGTCATTTCTTTTATTTTCTGAAAAATTGCTTTGTAAGCTATCACATTTTTTTAACATTTTTTTGATATTTGATATCGACTTCCATTCGTTAACATATATACAATTTCTTTCATACTTCATACAATAAAGTTTTGTTGTTTTATTTTTAACAAGAAAAAAAGCCACCACAAAATTTTATTTAGCAATAAAAATATTCAACCATGCATAAATACATACATAACCCCAATAACTTCCCCCTGTTATTAAATAATTAAATATAGTATGTGTGTAATATTAGAAATTAAAAAATTCTGCATCAAAATAAATTAAATAAATAACACAATTCAAGCAATTGTTACTATAAATAGACAGCATTTGAAACTATAAATAGACAACTCAAATAATCTCATTTGCATACTACATTTTAAAGCGGCACGCCTAAAGACTTTTGTCATTTTTTATGGAAAAAAAATTGTACAAATGAGTAAAAAAAGGTTTATCAAGTGTATAAAATCAATTCATTTAACATAGACTACCAAAGATACGTGTCATTTTTCAAGAAATGTAGAAATTTCTATTTCTCCGTTAGTAACGGCATAGAATTTGTACAGTAAAATCTGTTTAAATGATATTTCGAAAAAAAAACATTCAAAATTCCATCTGCATTTTGAATACTTATGCATTTTTTTAATAATAAATATACTTGTATTTTTTTAATTTTTGAAGTTTTATTTGACTCAACTTGAATCATGCCGCTTTAAAAAGTTGACAGAAAACCAAGCCATTCACGCACATAAAAATGTTCATCAATATTCATTTTATATTTAATCTCGTAACAAAGCTGTCAAAAATGTCATTTGCTATAAATAAATAATAAATATGTTCATAAACATGACAACAGTTCATGTAATAAACTTATATTAAATAAATTTTAACAATATGTGGTCATATTTAAATATACCTACTAACATACAAAGTTCACAATTGATGCATATAATAATGGCAAAATAACAACTTTTCGGTCCTTTCGTAATACATCAAATGCATATAAAGGTACCATCGATTTGGACAAATTTAGTAAAGCAGGAGTTACCTCGCTTATCACTGAAATGAATTCAAAACCACCTAGCTTAGTAAAACCATCTTGACTAGAAAATAATGACTATTGACACGCATTTTCTCCATTAGAGCTTTTATAATATTTAACATATTAATATTCCATTAAGCATTTTCTTGCCCAGCCTTTCAAATGTCATTAATTTAATTAACTACAACAAAACAATCCTGTCAAAACTTCTCAAAAATCATTATCATCAAAGAGTCTAAAAACTGAACGAAGAACGCTGAAAATATCATCTGATAACATCGTTTCAGGAGCCGTTCAGACCTTTTTTTTAATTTTCTAAAATTTGAATCTCAATCAAGTTCGATTTGAGTATGTCCTTTCAAGTGTTGCAAATTTCTATTGAATTCCATTTCGGCATGTACAACTGCTGTAAAAAAGCAAAAACATTTTTTTCTGCAACATTTGCATTTTTTCTTGACGATAATTTGCTATGACCATTACCATTTTAGCTCCAATTCATAGATCAGCGAGCGACCACTTTGCTATTCATTCCCGACAGGTATTAGCTACATATTCAACTCTGATGTTAACAGTATGTCTACCTATCAGCACTAACTCTCTATAACTGCCACAACAAATTTCCTGAGTTGTTTTCTTATCATATAATTTATCCAGTTGGTTCCTATCCTACTTTTACTCTTTGTCTAGTTCCGTTAAAACTTTAGTCCCTTCACTTGTACTGTGGAACGTGTTTTCATCAATGGCACTTAATGGCTGGAAAGTCCTCGAGTCAACACACTGTTGCCCGGAGGACTGATGTTCCATTGCATTGGAAACTTTGTTAGAGTCCTCCGATACATTAGAGTCCTCGGAAATGTCGTTTGTTTTATCACAGAGCACGTTTTTGATAAGTGTATCAGTCATATCGTCGGTAATTTTCTCACTTAGGAATGGGTCCTCAAACAAATACATGTCTGACAAACAGTTACTGTTTGGAACGCCAAAACCATTTCTATATTTTCTTCGCTTATTTCTACGTTTTTCTTCCCTTAATTCTAATTGCAGACGCTTTGTGGTGTTATTGACTAGTACAGTTCTTCTAAGAAAGAATTCAGGGTCACTTAACTGTTTTAATTTCTTAATGGATATTTTGAGAATTTTCTTTCGTTCGTCCTTTCGTTCCTTTGGGGTATTTAAAAACGGTGAAACCCGTTTCAGCGGAATGAACGTTTCTTCTGGCTCGGAATGTTCAGCTTTTCGTTTAACTCCCTGACTTGTTGGGTAACAGGTAATTCTAAGTTCAGCTTCAGTCTTTTTGCAGATATCAAACTCTTTGGATTCATCAGCACTACCTGTAAAACAAATGACCACATTAAAGAATATTTCAACTTTTAAACCACAAAAATCGCTATTAAACAGTGCTAAAACTGAATTGTACATCAAAAGGTGTCTACAAATATTTGCTTTGTTTATTTGTAGATCATTTTATAGCATCTTAGTCGTAAACACACTAAAAACTGGTATGAAAATATTTATCGAGATTTTATTAGATTCTGTGCAAGTATTGGCTTGTTTTCCGCAAATTACTCAATGCGTCTCCATATGAACCATTTGAGAGAGCAGTGGAGGTCCAGAGGCATAAGACTTTTTGGTTTCTGTCGTCAAACTGGTACAGAAAACATATGTATACAGCCTCAAGAAAACAAAACTCTGTAAAACCTAGAATGCTGTGATCACTGAGGCAATGTGCTGAGTTTGCAAATAAATTGAGCAATATGTGAAGCATCAAGAAATCTTAACATAATAAACGGTTACCCTAATGGGATTTAGACTCACAAAACACCAGCGAGATGCAGTTAATAGACAGAAAAATTGTCTTAATGTATGCTACGTGCCGACGGGCATGCTGATATTTAATAAAACGCGACGGTCGTCTAAGCCCAGGAACAACCGCAATTTTCTAGATTGCTCAATATATTATACTTTCTATCACATCGTGATTTTTATCTTAATTGTTTCGGTCGGTGTTAAATTAGTTTACTACCCTAGCGAAAAAGACAATGCTTTCCATTTAAACCCTTTTATAAAACTATGGGGCATAATGTGCCATAAAGTTAGCTTAAAGCGGTTCATGAGAACGCAAGTCACTGGAGGTCTAGAAATTTTCCGTATCAACTTCGATATTTCTTTTTATTTTTTTGTTATTTCTAAACTCTCGGACGGTATGAATGAAGGGGACTGGCGTTGATAAAAACGACAACAAATAATGATGACTATGCGATTTTCGCAGGTAACAGCTTAAAGATATAAACTACATATACAACAATATATTTATCGACTTTTCACTCAATCAATGTGTCAGATAAACTAAAAAAAAGCAATGGTTTAATTACAATAGTTGTTATTGAATTTTGTGTAAAATTAAATACACTATTATGTAAACACTAATAAATACGTTTAAACTCGTGCTAAATATGTAATAAAATGACCTTGATATTGATTTAGGTGCCGTTCAACCTTATCGTATACTTTAATGTTTAACAGATTTCGTATACATAACAGGATAGTAACATCTTGTCAAACAAAGATACCGTTCAAGCGTTAAAGGTGTATTCAGTGTATTTATATCAACATAAGTCGGTCGCTTTGATCATTGATAACGATGTTTAAACAAAAAAAAGAAATTATTTTTTTCAGACGTATGTATAAATGCGTTTTACTTTATTACGCAAGAACATGTATGTATAAATAAGTAACTGGAAAAGTACTGTTACCTATTAAAGCAAAATCCTCTCCCGACACGTTTTGGGTAATGTCCGCTTTATCGTCTTTTCTAAAGTCCCCATTCATTGGCTCATAATTGACATTCTCAGAAAATTCATTAGAAAGTTCCATACGGCATGGGATCGATGAACCCGTGCTTGCCTCAATGTGACATGGAGTGGATGACTTTTGATTATCCGATAATCCGGGATGGGATGGGCGTGGATTAATCCAGTTAAAGTCAAAACTTTCACATCCATTATTTTGGATTGTCGCACCACTATCTGTATACGGTCTCGTATACAAAGCGGGCATTGACAAAACACAAGTCATGTTTGTTTTGTTTTAAACTTCGTTTTCAAAGAAAATATAAGTCTCCTTTCCTTTAAATATTAAATCCTGTCGATTTATTTTAAATGAATGTTAAAATATTCAAAATGTTTAGACAACGATAATCCGAATGATCTGTTTCTTGTATTAAACACAAGCCTGGATAAGTCTAATTTGTTTTATCCAATACACAATACCAAAGCCTCCATATTATAATAATAACAGTAAATTATGACAGTGGTTTACAATCGAGCGTCCTACTAGCTCGGCTATCAATCGCATACTGACAGCATTCAGGCTATAACGAGATACGCAGTGTGTATATAAACAACGGGGAGTAACTGGTTATTACATGAAGAAAGCTGCTGTATAATAGATATTGTACTGATTAAAATCTACATCTTATTTCATTCTCGCTGAACCAGTTCATTGCTGTTTTTATGTAATGGTCATATTTGTTGATAAATGAGTGAATATTTACAATAAAACTGTCAATACATGTATGTATTACAGTGTAAGAATTTTTGAACTGTTTTGTTACTGTTTTTACTGCTAATGTCATGTACTTGAATCACATAATTATGTCTTATCCAATGCTTTAATAAGATTTGCTCACATAGTAAATATTGATACGCTTTAAATACAGAATCATAAAAGTTAAAGTATGTGACAGATTATTATATCTGCTTATTATGGAAAAGGCTATCCCTTTCATGGTGGTTTTTAAAGGGTTATAAGTTTTAATGTTTTAAATTCAAGCAACGGTTCACATGTAAGACTGATTTTGCAGTATTTATTAAATTATTACCATATTTCTACTGCGTGACTAACGCAGAAAGGACTTTTTTTAATATTTTGACCTCTTTTTGGTAATTTGTAAGTGCCGATTGCAAAGCAAAAATATTTTACTTTTTAATACACGTTTTCATGAAAATTTAACATGATTCTGGAGGCGTGCTGCTGTAGGACCGCGGGTTGTGGTTAGAAAATATTAATAGGCTGTCAGGACATCTAGACTATGAACAACCCACGCAAGTAAACTAGTCAATGTGGTAAAACAATCAACTATTTAACCCAAAAAAATGGTTCAAATAGTTTAAAACTGTTGAATATTCATATTTTTTTTGATAGTTATGTATATAATATAAATTAACATATCGATTATATGTGGCAAAGGTATTGTGATGATATTGAAATTATATTTAGATATTATTAGATCTAAATTTACCATTTCATTCATTCATTCATTCATTCATTCATTCATTCATTCATTCATTCATTCATTCATTCATTCATTCATTCATTCATTCATTCATTCATTCATTCATTCATTCATTCATTCATTCATTCATTCATTCATTCACTCACTCACTCACTCACTCAATCACTCATCACTCATTTATTTATTTATTTATTTATTTATTTTGTTTTTGTTTTGTTTTTTCAGGACCTGCAAAATGACCTTGTGCCAGGAAAAAGGAAACGTTTTGTTTTGTTTCTTTTTCATGTTTTTCTTTTTTCAGCTTATAATATATCCGTGTTAGTTGTAAAGCGGCTTTGTTTTCATTTTTACCCGAAACAGGAACTCACGTTTGTCTATTTTTTAATAGTGCATTGTTCACTAAGATAAATAGTGCCATCATTCAGCGTCTGCGTGACAGGTCCGGCTTCCGGTTGCTTTACAAATAGGAAAATCGGGAAAACAAATAAAGCATCGCTTCAGTAATTCTCAAATAGCTCTTCAAATGTCGTCTGCTAAAAAAAGAAAGAATTTTTTTCGAAAAAAAAAAAGCATAGAACAAAATACAACAAAATACTCCGTCTCTAAAAATATCGTCTGCAGCCTATCATCAACAGAAATTGCCTTTTGCAAAGAAAAGTACGCATCAAAATTTCGATATCAGTCACAAAGTAACTGGAAACTGAAAACTGAATCTGCAAAATAGAATATGAAAATTCTGAAAATAGAATATGAAAATATCGTCTGAAAATAAATGTACCGCGCAAATTATATTCATAATATATAATATTACGAAAGTACGATTGAGATCTTTATCTATTTGATCAATAAATGGCATATTTGTACAACAATTATGACACATTAATTGCACTTGATAATTAACCCCCGCAAAAGCCTGCCCTTGGGCAAAAAAAATAAGAAGGTGTTTCATGAAATGTACTCTTGTCAATTGGATATTTCCGCATACTTGAAGTGTCGTCTGATGTGTATTGGGTCAATAAGAGGATTCGGAACTCATCTGCTTTTATTCTTTTGTCGCGTACTGAGTCAATAACCTTTTTGAACATGTCTGCGTTATTCATTGGTTGCACTTTTAATTATTTCAAACATAAATTGATGCTGGTAAAGAAAACTCCAAGATAAAAACGCGAAAAGGTTTAACAAAATGCGAAAAGAATATGACAATTAAGTTTTGGAATGAAATATACAATAAACAAATGAACTATAAATCTTTGAATAAGCATAAAATTAACATAACGTTTAGTAGCACTAAATAACAATTTAGATTAAGTTGTAAACAATGAAGTAATTGAAACAACTTAAGTGTATGGATAGAGAAAAACAAATATACTTTTATTTATTGAGCATGAACAAGCATAAAATGCAGCAGAGAGGGGTTTTCCTGTTGTTTATCGTGGCAAAATGATAATGCTATTGATATGAATTAAAATATGAAACGCGCAAACAATTGTATTGTATTGTGTATTGTGTATTGTATTGTATTGTATTGTATTGTATTGTATTGTATTGTATTGCATTGCATTGCATTGCATTGTTATTTATCGAGATGTGCTGTATTGTGTTTGTGACCATTTTGTTCTGTACTACATTAATGTATTTGTATATGCATTTGTACATGTATATGTATTGTATATGTATATAGATATTGTACATATATTGTATATGTATTGTATTGTATTGTATTGTATTGTATGGTATGGTATGGTATGGCATGGCATGGCATGGCATGGCATGACATGTCATGGCATTGCATTGCATTGCATTGCATTGTATATGTATTGTATTGTATTGTATTGTATTGTATTGTATGGAATGGCATGGCATGGCATGGCATGACATTGCATTGTATTGTATTGTATTGTATTGCATTGTATTGTATTGTATTGTATGGAATGGAATGGCATGGCATGACATTGCATTGTATTGTATTGTATTGTATTGTATTGTATATGTATTGTATTGTATTGTATTGTATGGCATGGCATGGCATGACATGGCATGGCATGGCATGGCATGGCATTGCATTGCATTGCATTGCATTGCATTGCATTGCATTGCATTGTATATGTATTGTATTGTATTGTATTGTATTGTAGTGTAGTGTAGTGTAGTGTAGTGTATTGTATTGTATTGTATTGAATGGAATGGAATGGCATGGCATGGCATTGCATTGTATTGTATTGTATTGTATTGTATTGTATAACTATATTCAACTGTTTTACCGCTGGAGTTGTAACCGTATAATTTTGATAGACTAAGAATGAAGGTAAATATGGAATCAAGTATAATCGATTTGGAATGTATATACACTTCCCGTGGGACTTCTGATAACAATCTACAAACAAATGAGAGAAGACAGGAAACATGTGTTGTTAGTATGGCAAAGAATAATGGGGGAAATGCGGAATATCACTAGTACTTATTATTGATAAAACATTCACAGGTTTTTCGCCGCGGTATCTTTGCATGAGCATTTTTTATCTGATCGCGTGAACATCGTGCAATCTGATATGTACGCTCAGTAATTATTGATTGTTATTTAGGTGACTTTAAAGAGATTATCAAGAAATCTGATGCTGGGGAATAAAACGATAACAGGTTATTGAAAAGAATTAGACACGTATCTTAATAGAGAAGTAAATGATTGGTAGATATTCACATTATTATATACAATGAACAGAGAGGGTTTTTTTTTTCTTTTTTGGTTTTTTCTGTGGGTCTTTATTGTAGTGTATAATGTTTGGATTGGTGTCCATTTGAGGAAGGACTTATTGTCCTTCTCTTTTAGGTCAAAGGTCATGCATCTGTAGCCAACTCGAAACATGTTTTATATACATATTCTGTACACATACTGACATATGCATACTTATATGACTGCATATCGTCTGTTTTCGTGTAACATCTTGCTGGAATATAACATGTATCAACATTTGTTACATGCAGCCTGTCACAGATTATATAAAGTGTAACTACTGCTTTAATTCTATAAATTTGCTATAGTGACATTTATGGTCTATCCGCCCTTTCAGACACTTAGTGTACGGGATTGTCCCTCTATTTTATATGTACGATAAGATCACAATTAGGGACTTTATACCAGTAACGAAAATATAGTATTCAGACGGGGGAGTATGTGGCAAGTGTCCTGCACAATCATGACCAGTGCATCGGTAGGGGTATATATGTACATGTATGTAAATTCAAGAATTTAATGTTCGTTATTGACTTTTTAATTATGAATGACATTTAGCTCACTATAAGCATATAATATAATACAGTAACTTAGAATCGATGTTTCAAACATTACGCACGAAGTTATACAAGTACTATGTGTGGGTTGGGTAAATATGGGTTGGTTTAAATGTCAAAAGGTCTCAAGCAAGCCTTTAACATAATATCAAAAATTAGAATACATTGATATTGTTTTGATATTGATTTTACATGAAATTAACATTGGAATATTGAGGGACAAATAGTAATTATGGTGTAATGGAAGATAAATTCCATTTTATGATCAACCCGTGTGACATTTTCAAACAAGCGCGTGTAAGATATAGTCTTATATGCTGTGCTGTGCTGTGCTGTGCTGTGCTATGTATTGTTTTTGTATTCTATATATCGTATCGTATCATATTATATGCACAAAGCCAGTGTGTTATATTTCTTAAGTGCTTATTAAAACAAATGGAGAACAAACTTTTTTAACTTTATAAAACGCTATACTTTTACTTACTATATAAGTCATTTCAAAAGGGTCATGAATAACTAATTCGTGATTTAAGTTGACACACTCTCGTTAATAAATACATGTAAGTGAGTAAGATACTTTCATGTTTAATATATGTGTGCGTATTGTTGTCATGCATTACATGTGTATATTTATATTAATAACTTCTCCACGATTTAATTTGTTCAGTACAATTCTACCAAATATATGATAAACCTAAATCATGTCCGTCGGGAAAACTTCCTTACATGTATTTAAATATTATATCAATTGTGAAAGAAATGTGGTTAACCGGTATGTGATTTATCAATAAAGTC